ATGAACCGCTCCATAATCTTCCCCGGCACCGAGGTCAGGCTGACAGGCCTGTAGTTCCCCGGATCCTCCTTCCGGCCCTTCTTGTAGATGGGCGTCACATTGGCAAGCCTAACCTTTGTGAATAACCAAGGCATGATAACCTTTTCAAAACTGACTAAGAACTAGACTGCTCCTGAGCTTCCTCTAGATGCAGAGAAACCCTTCATAGGCTTCCTGAGAGCACTTGTTAATTGAGTATCAGCATTAGGTGCCTTGTAGTTTTGGATAATTCTACTACATTTCTGCATTTTTAGTTAACTAACTACTACAGATCTTCCTCCAAGTGACTGAGGGTCCCATGTAGGGCTGAAGGTCCCAAGTCCTAGTTCTCAGAAGTAATTCAAAGCCTTAATTTCAGCTGCCAGTTTGGAAGCAGAAAATTAGAAGCTTCCTTGTTTAAGCTTTCAAAGGAAATTAGAGAAGTGAAAATGCGAGGTTTCTTTTTTTTTCTATTTCTATTCTGAAATTGGAAACAGCTGCCACAAAATGTTTATAACCATACATAGTGCTCAATAAATGTCTAAACCTGGAAGGAACTGTGCATGAATTATGTCTGATTTATAAATCAAATAAAAATAGAAAGAGCCAGTTGAATTTTAAATGTCCTTCCTACATTCAGTAAGCCTTGAAATTACGGTGTCTACAGAATATTTCCTGCAAAAACGTCTAATGCATTGCATATACTATATCAAAATATTTAAAAAGCATTCCAAGAGCGTATCAGATAAGGCAAATACTTGGGCATAATTAAACCTTCATAAATTGGCTTTTCATAGGGAGAATTCTTGGAAAATAATTTTATTTTTAAGCTCATCCCATAACACGCAGACCAAGATTAACCACAAGGAAAGGTCTGAGCTGCAAGTAATTGCAGCAAGTAATTGCACTTGGGCAGGTCAATAAATACACCAGGCACATAACTTAGCTTGCAGGAATCAGACCCCAGCGGTGAGGCAGAGCAACCCCCCGCCCAGCCCCGGACCCCGGCCATGAGTGGCAGATCCCAGGCCAGCTGTGAGAACGCCAAATCTTCAGCTCACCTCCTTGTGGGGAAAGGAAGCGTGTTTGATTGCAGCATCTTCGGCGGGTGGGAGCAGGGCCACGTTACAACCCTGACCCCAGACTCTGCTTGACTGGCTCTCTGTGCCAGCCAGGAGTGACAGCCTTCCAAGGTGGGGACAAAACTGGGGACTACGATGTTTCTAAACATCCACTCTTCCTGCCCCCGCCGAAGAGAGCCACGCTTTAAAGAACAGGCTTCATGGAGCTGAAGTGCAACTTTCATACTGTGTACAAATGAGTCAATAAAGTCATACCAGAGTTTTGACTACAATGTAATCCACCTCAGAAGACATGTGAAGCTCAGGTTTCAAAAGCAGTGTCATTATATATCTTCATTTAGTCGCAAAATACTTTGGTAGATACTTTTGCTGCTTCTTTGGAGGATTATTTTTAAACTGCAGATATTCTCCAGTCACACCTACTGATTTAACTTTGAAGAGATAATACTTGGCCTGTTTGACCCCAGGGAGTGAAGATATTTAATATTTTGTCTTCCAGTTTATTACCCACACCAGACAAACAAAGCAAAATAAATCCATTAAAATGTAATTTTAAGAAGAGTATTCCCTTGTTTTGTTAGCTAAATCACATTTTTGCAATTAACATGATCGTTATAAACATTTTAGGCCTTGCTCAAGATCATCTGTGTATATCAAAATAAAATATTCTCATCCCAATTTTATGGCACAGCTCTGTTAGAAAAATATTTCAGCGAAACAAAATCAAAACAAAACCTTGCGGTTTAACTCCCTAAACAACAGAGGTAGTTTAGATTTATTTCAGCCGTCTCCACCACCGCTCTGTGCATAATAAAAGTGCTTCCCAACTCTCCTCGCACAAAATGCAAGCGCTGTCACCTCAGTCCTTCCTTGCTGTGTGCTCTTCCCACCGGCACAGGAGTGTGCTCTGCGTGCCCCCCATCACCCTGGCAGCTGAAAATTTCCTAGATTTCAGCCCCCAAAAGAAAGCAAAGCAGGTGAATGTATGCCCTGAGAGATATGCATGTATTTGGATCCACCGTCATATTTTCATGGATGTGGGGACAGAGCAGTGAGCTCCTTTACCGGCCCAAAGGCACCGCTGCGTTCCTAAGTAGGTGCCTGCCCCTTCGGCCCGGGAAAGCAGCAGGCAAGGCATGGGGTGCTGGGCCCATCATCCCCTTGTTTCACCTCCTCCAGAAGCTGGTTTGTCTCCATTTAACTGGGGCCAGCTAGCTTTGGGATACCAGTTTATGTTCTTACCCTTGTAATGAGCCCCAAGAAAACTTTTCAGAAGCGGCTCTGGCACCCATGAGGGTCCGTGCTCATACAGGAAGGATCTTTTTACCACAGACATGCTCAAAGTCTGGAGCTGCTGGTACAACAGCCAGCAACATACCTAAGTGTCTCCATATTGGCCATGGCCCTTGTTGTGAAGTTTATGCTCCAAGGGTAGAAGAGGGTAACTGCCTTGTAGCTAGTCTTTGCCAACGAGCAGATGAACTATCGCAGTTGCCTCAGGGAGCTGTAACTGAATTTTCTGGGGAAACCACCACGCCGACACATCGTGCTATTGCCTGCCAGTTCAACCCCATCCCTGGGTGACCTGACAACATGAAAGTAATATAGCCATGCTAACGCCAAGCTTTGTTTGAGAGACAGACCGCACATGAAGCCCTCCTTCTGCGTTAAGGAGCACCTGCTTCTCCTCACTTTGAGAGGAAATGTGTGAGAACAGGAAACCCTCTCCAAACCTGCTGGGCCCTTTATAGAGCTACATAAATCTGCAGCCCCACTATGTGAATAACAGCTTACTACAAAACTGGGGGGAAAAGGAGCTGAAGCCATCCAATTCTACAGCTTCAGTGCAGGATAAATACAACCAGCAGGTTAAATGTTGCCCCGCTAAGTTTAAGCGGCAGTAGCCAGTTGCTGGCACTGCTCTGGAGGGTTTCTGCCTGCACGGTCAAAATGGATACTTTACCCTTTAATGTTAACAGTGTCTTCATAGTACATATTTTTCTTAAATTAAAAAAAACCCCAAACTTTCAGTAAAGCTCACTCGGGGCCTTCCCTTGTTCCTCTGCTATCCATGGTGGTTTTGCCACTGACAACAAAAAAGGAGGACCAGAGCCTTTAATGCCCTACTTTTAAGTGTTGATACATTTACAGAAGACTATACAAACAAGCACCGAACAGCAATTACGCATTATTAGAGCTACACAATATTTGTACATGTTGCTAAAACAATGCTGCTAAATGAAGAAGCTTTATTAGTTTAGAGTTTTTGGCTGCTGTTATTAAAAATATATTTACCTGAAAGGAAATCCAAGTATTTCATTTTACAAACGATTTAAAATATAGCAGTAAGCAACATAAACTATTGCTTTTTATGTTTATACATTTTTTTTGGCATAACACTGCCATACAGTTACAGAATTATAAAATATATCTTTATAGTGCATTACAAATCCAGAAACTGGTTACCACTCCTACCACATACATATGGTATTGGTACTACCAAACATGCACAGCATTCTGTAATTAAACACTGCAAAGGAATACAGAGAAGAGAGCAGGACCATTCATAAAAACTGACATGTAGCCATTTCATTTTGCAAGTAAAAAATTAGGTTTTGGGGTTTTTTCTTTTTACTGCACTTTTTTCTTAGAACACATTTTAACAATGAAGTCTATGATATTTCCAAATTTTATAAGTGCAAAACTATACCTAATAATCTGTCGCTGAACTCAAACCGCATAAAGGGCAAACAACCGTGGAATAGGTTAAAACACAGAAAAAAGAGCAACTAATGATTAGCAAACATGCTTCAGCAGATCCCAAAAACGTAAGTGCCATAACCTTTTTTTACTGCAAAACAATAATTTTCACATAGTTAGTCACAGTAGTAAACACATTCAGTATATTTCACAATAAACTTTAGTTGATGAATACGCCACTAGACTTGTAAGCATGGTAGAATTAAAAAGTGCTGCGTTTCTAAGAAGCAAGAGACTTCTTTCAGAACAATTTGCCAATTCTCACATTTGTTATTTTATAGCAAACAGCTTAATGCTTTTGAAAATAAAGGTGATTGTAAGTGTAAAGCCACAGCAGGTCTCTATTTAATTGATCTCTATAGCTTTTGAACTAGATTTTAGGAGTCCATTATGTATGGCATGTATTAAATATATTCTTTAAAATAAACTCTTGCTTTCCCCAATGGTCTTAAGTATACTTAAGAACGTGGGCTGTAAAAGGAACACAGCTTTCAGGAAAAGAAATAGTTCACAGGCAATACAGAGCACAGATATGAGACACAGTTTACATTCCCCTTGAAGAACTGCATCTAAATACCTGTTAGTAGTGAATCTATGGTGTTGACCATGATGTGAATGGAGGGCAGGTTGCCCATGCCTAGGCCTTTTTTGACCCATCCTTCACTTTCAGGCTCCAATGGCCATCAAAACCATCTTTTGAGCAGTTACTCCAATTGCAATTGGAACTGGGGACACGTATCAAAATAAGTTACCAAAATGTGGAATGAGGAGTATGGTTCTCAGCAAACCCCAGATAGTATTTCCGTCTTCTACATGATCACAACGTTACACCCATTGATGCTGGTGTCTCCAAATCCAGAGGTACCTCACTCAGATGTGGGCTAGGAATAGGTTTTGTCTTTGACTGATCTTGCTTTTACACCGATAGGGAAAAAAACCCCTCTGTTCTGCGGTCGGAATCTGACTTTTAATACTATATACAAAAGGATTTATGTGTAAAAATTTATTCAGAAGGGACAAGTAAGATAATATTGTCAACAACATAGGACAAGTTTTCTGCCTAAGCAGACATCTTCTGCCTAAGAACAGAAATATAGGACATTTTCTGCCTAAGCAGGTATTTTATCATGAGAATCTCCCACGGCTTTTAAAAACTGACTTGAAGCGGATTACTGTTCATCTTACAGTAACTTTAGTAACTGCGCTCAAATGCACTAGCAATTCTTGAATAAACAGATCTGAGACAAAAGAGATGATTACTTTTTCCACACAAAACATAATTAAAACACAGAACTCGCAGCCACAAGGGATTGTGGAGGCTGAAAGAAACCATGAGTTCAAAAATGGAAAAATTCCTGGAGAAAAATGGGGTCACCTTATCTGTTCTTTGTTTCACACCATCTGTGGTGGCCACTGCTGGAGGCAGGATACAAGGCTAGAAACATCTTTGGTTCTGATCCACACCGGTAGTTCTTAGGACAATGTGTATCATTAGCATGATATCGTCACACTTTTATTCATGGCAAAACTTACTTCACATACTTGCATCTTATTCATAAATACAGCTTTTGTCAAAGAAATGCAATTTGATATGTTACCTGTAGAAGTATGGCATAATAAGAGTTACATTTTCACTTAAATGTATATATCTTACTATAATTTGTGATCAGTACCATCACAACTGTCAGGAAAAGAAAGGTGCAAAAAAATAATTCAATTAAACATATATACATAAATTTTATTTAAAAACAAACAACAGCTGTTTTCCATTTAAATCTAGTGAACGTTCCTTGACTTACCTTATTGGATCATCCATCAAAATTATACAAAGCTTCTAAGGTCTGTAAACTTTCTGGTTATAGTACAGGTATATGCAACTGCAGATTATTAGAATTATCCTGGAATAATTCAAGGAGGCTTACACTAGGTTACATGAAATATTAACTATGATGATTGTACAAATACCTAATACATCAGACTGCTGCAATCTTAGAGCAGGAAACTGAGGAGCTGACCAAGCCAGGGAACAGCTCTCAAAGGCTTATTGCAAATATTTTTAGCATTCTTCAGGATCATGCCTTTAACTATGAGCAATACGGACACCAAGAGCTCAGTTCTGCTCCTAGATACGTGCACACGCGTAACTGCTCTTCTTATCTGAATGGTCTGCGGTGCACACCTCAAGTACCCAAGCTTTCAGTCTCTACGCCAACACAGTATCAGGTACTGAGGCACAATTACGTCCTGGATAGTAGGGCACAGAGCTGTAACTAATCTTCAAGTGCTGCATTTTTGCATGATTTGTATGACCGCCTTCACTTGCATGTACGTACTCAGTAACATTTTGTCAAGTTGTGCATTCATATCCCCTCACCATAGGGTACTTGAAGTCAAATTCACAAGTGTATGCATATACACGCTACTCCCACTTAACAGTACCAGAGGCTACTCAGATGTACTTATTAGGAAAGAACCCCTGTATGGGAGGTTCTGTTCAATTCATAAATGAATAGCTCAGATTCTAGTAAGACACTGGCCAAAACACATTATTGTAGTAAGTACACAGAAATCCCTGAATACTTAAGCGCATAGCGAGACAAAAACAAGTTTAACAGTGAGCAAATGTCCTGACTTTCTTTGCATATCCTCAGTTTCTGAAGTAATGGTTAAATAACTAAGTACTGGCATTTAAGAGAATACAAATCATTTCAACATATATCGTACTGCAAGCCTGAAAGCCAATGCTTAGAAACTTCAAGCACAGGGTGCTTCTGGTTGCTAAGGCCATGATTCTGTAATGAAATGCATACAGTGCACACACTTGATCCTCACCGGGATGCTACGCTGTGTGACTGCCCTGCAATGAATCCTTCTTTTAAGCACTTCCAGAATCAGAAGAAACAGCTCCTCCATGAAAAGAATGATAAACCATCACATTTTACATAGAGCAGAATTTGTTAGTTAAAGCTGAAGAGTCCCATGGGAGTAATTCTCTTAATGAGACAGATTACAGAGCGCAGGAGCCCACCTGACACAAAAAACCTCACTTACCTAATCTCCATAGTTCTTTGTAGGCAATTGGTATGCCACTACTCTTCTCACTTCTATGAAAACTGATGGAAATATACTGAGTTGCAGATTTAAAAAAAAAATAATTGCAGAGTTAATAAGGATATGAGTCCCAAAGTTCTTGACTGTATTTTCAGATATACTGGGCCTTTAATGCAGACAGCCCTGCCAGATTAAAAGTACATTAAGTACTTAATTATGAGTGGAGAACCAGCAAGTATGTACAGGTGAAAGCTGTGTCACAATAACAGAATACCGTACTGCAGGGAAATCTTTTGGATGCACATCCCGAGAGCTTTCTGGTTTAAAATTAGAGCAAGATTTCTCTTTTTTTTTTTTTTGTTCAGTAGACAAAAGATGAAAGATCTCCTGAGGTCATCGATGTTCAATCAAATTACAGTATAAATATAATAACACCCCCAGCATTCCTTATTTCACTTGAACACTATGCATTTTTTTAAAGTGTTTAACCTTAATACTAAAATCCATAAATTGAAGGCTCTGTTTAACTACCTACCTTTTAGTTATGTTCCTCATACACAGGGTATAAATTTTCCCTATGCCATTCAAGA